ATCTTTACGGGAGCAGAACGCCTCATCTTTCTCCCGCGGAGCGGCTGGTAGTTTCGAACTGCTGGCCTTAAGGTTCGCAGCCCGATTCGTAACCATAGAACCCCCTTATATGGAAGCTATGAGCGTGAAAAACAGTTTGGGACAACTTGATGTCATAAACAGTTATTTAAATAAAAGTTCAGTGAAAGGTATTATTCAGCCATACTTTTCCTTGTGCCTTTCTAAGAGAAAGTTTGGTGTATTTCTTTCTACTTTTTTTTTTTTAGTATAATTTGGTGTAAATTCTGCTGTGCTTATTTCTAGGTGCAATTATTTGTAGATCTATTCCACAGTAGACTTCTTTGTTTTCTGAATTCTAGGTGATGCAGCTAACTGCCCAAGTTTGGAAAACACAGACATAGATGAATCCTCTTTGTTTGAAGCACTGCTTGGGCCTGGCGCGGTCCTAGTGGACCACAATAGATTATCCAGTGAGAGCAGTTGCAAGAGCTGGCTGAGCTCCGTGACCATGGACAGCGAGGACGGCTATCAGACGTGCATGTCTGAGGACTCTAGCAGGGGGGCCTTCAGTCGGCAGACAAGCACAGATGATGAGTGTTTTGTCCTCAAGGATGGGGACGATTTCCTAAGGAAGTCTTCCTGGAGGAGGAACCGGAGCATCAGCACCGCCAGCAGTGGATCCATGTCTCCCTCCTGTGAGGGCAACTTCTCAAGCGTGTTTGGTACCCTTCCCCGTAAAAGCAGAAAGGGGAGTGTGCGGAAACAACTCTTGAAATTCATCCCTGGCCTTCACCGCGCCGTGGAAGAGGAAGAGAGTCGCTTTTGACTACTTGTGACGTTCTATTGTATTAGCTTATTTCAGAAATATCTCTAGATTCGTCTAAATCAACGCCACCAAGTTTATTAGGAAAGCACAGATTGAGAAACTGACATCCCCTTTTGCAGCAACGTTGTTGTTGCTGTTAAGTGCCTTCGAGTCGGTTCCGACCCATAGCGACCCCAGTATAGGGTTTCTGAGGAGCGGCTGGTGAACTTAAACTGCTTACTTTGCGGTTCAAACCGACTTTGCAATTCAAGCAGTCCAGCAAGCACATTAATCCACAGCGCCACACCAAGACTACGTTTTACAACAATAGTGACATTTATTTAAACTTTCGTGTCTTTGCTTTTACTGTTTTCTAAATCAGTTTTCAACCAGAACAGCTTAAGTTCTAAGCAGACATTAGGGAAATCAGGTAATAAATTGGATAACATAAAAAGTTCTTTCTCAATCTAATGTTGTTTATGAAGACAAGTGTTATTTGTTTTCTATTTTATATTAATAATTCAAATTTTTTTGTTAATTTCGAAGGACTAAGAAAATAGAACTATTTGTAATACCTCCCATGGGTTAACTGGTGAATTTCCAAAGGTTTGTTGTTGTTATTAAGTACCTTGGAGTCCTTTCCAACCCATAGGTTTACTTCATTAATCTTTAGGGATAATTTATAATTTGAAATTTTGAAAGTGCAAATTTTAAAAGTGTATGTGCAAGTCTACAAAAAGCTGTAACCAAAGATGATCATGAGCCATCTCCCATGTCCACATTGACAATACAGTTGGAAATGGAAGGTTTAATGGAAGGATTTAAGGTTCCTGAGAAACATGGAAAGTGATTGTTGCTTTGAGATAAATATTGAAGAAGATTCCAGTAAGGTTTCTCTCTACATATATTGTTGCCAAAGTGCCCTCCAGTTAATACTGACTCCTAGCCATCCTTCACAGTGTTTCTGAGATGGTAGATCTTCAAGCGATCAGAAAGCCTCATTTTTCTCCTACAGAGTAGTTGATGGGCTTGAACCCCTGCCCCTGTGGTTGTCAGTCCAGTGTTCATCCTACAGAGCCACGGTGCTTATATTTATTTTGTTAGACTACAAAATGGGTAAAGAATTTATCTTTTGTTCCATCCAAACAGCCTGATTTATCTTTTGTTCTGTCCAAACAGTGATACAAAAAGTCTGGAAGAGCTTTCAGAATCCTACAATTTTGTGGGTTTTTTTTTTTTTGTGTGTGTGTGTGTGTATGATAATTTGTGCTACAAATATCTAAAGTCTAAAAAAATTGAGTGTTGAGAAAAAATTTTCCTCCTGTAGATATTTTTCACTTCATCTTTCACTTAGTAGTATACATCCCAAATAGTTACTTTCTCAACTCGCTTTTGCATATTAGATATGTTAATATCTCATTACTTCTATATTTAATTCATGTTTTTATTCAATATCTATTAAAAGCAGTGTACTTCAGAGTCAGTTCAGACTCATAGCGACCCTTAGAGGGTTTCTGAGGCTGTACATTTTTACAGGAGTGGAAAGCCTCATTCTTTCTCCCATTCAGTAGCTAGTGGATTCAAACTGCTGACCTTGAGGTTAGCCGACCAGCTCAGTAACCCACTACACTACCAGGGCTCCTTATACCTCTTAAAGCATGTGCTTTTTTCTGTTCTGGTGGATGCATCAGTTAATACTTATACTCTGGAGTAAATAATCCAGGCAGTATAAAAAATAATTGTTAATAATTTTAGGCTATGTGTTTATGTGTGTGTGGTACGTGGGGGAGAAGGAGAAATACTGACTTGGAGTGGGAATACTACACTCAAGAAAACTTCTGAATATTCTAAGGTATTTGCCATTTAGAGAGTGGGAAAAACCCATAATTTTCATGCAGGGGAGAATAAGGAAGGTTATAAGAAAATAAAATATGAAAGTATTTGTAATTATGACCTTGTTGTTTTTAAGTGCCATCAGTTGGGTTCAGACTCATAGCAACCCTGCGTAGTGTTTCCAAGGAGCAGCTAGTGGGATTGAACTGCCGATGTTGTCATTAGCAGTGTAATGCTTATTCTAAAGTGACATAATCCTTTGGACTCGGAAGCATGTTTTGGGTGCTGAAATGACTGAATGGGTCATTCAGATGAAAGGTCGTGTCCTGCATAATTTTCAGGAACAATAACAAGCGTGTCTATGGTTTACTGATACCTAGGAGTCCTAGTGTACCTCTGTGGGATAAGCACAGGATTGCTAACTGCAGAGTTGGTGGTTCAAACCCACCAACCGCTCCTTGGCTATACTATACAAGGTTGCTATGAGTCAGAACTAATAGCATGGCTCTTAATAACAACATGAAGTAGGTTAAGGAGTCCTAGTGTGGTACTGTAGGATAAGCACTGGACTACTAACCAGAAGGTCAGTGGTTCAAACCCACCACCTTCTCCTTAGAAACCCTATACAGGCTTGCTATGAGTTGGAAATGACTCAAAAGCACTTAACAACAACAAGTAAGTAAAAGATACAACATGTGTTAGTTCCTGAAATAACTGTCGGCAGCTGTTCAGCAAACAGATAAGGAAGCAGGATTTCTGAGACCTTCTCAAGGTTACACAGTCAGTGACTGAGATGAGACTGGAAGCTAGTTCTTCCTGGCTTTATCTAATCCTCTAAGTCTTTCTTAATAGCATTGATTTTTTTGCTGGTGCTAGGCAGATGTCCCCACAGAATTTTTTTCCGCTAACAATGAAACTTAAAATGCATAATTGTACATGCTTCATGGATAAGGATATTGGCTTCAGTAATTAGGAAAACAAACACATATTTACAGTGTTGTGTGTGTGTTTTTTTTTTTTCTGACTTCCACAGGCAAGTTTTCAGATATGGGCTTATTATTAATTGCATAGCTATGGATGCGTCATTTTAAATAAGAGCCTGAAAACTGATTGCGATTTAGCCGATATTGCTTATTTCTCATTGTAGACTAGAATCCTCAAGTGAAAGATGTGCTTAAATGAAAACAGCCTGTTCGTCTTATTTCTGCAAAGTTTACTAGAAAGAAGCACCGTGGTTAATTCAGGAAAGATGACTTTAAGATTTCTTACAAAGTAAAAAGTCTTCTGAGGACTGCCACAGATCATCTGGAAAAGCAGCTCATAGGTCATTTGCTTTAGATGTTAAATTTAGCATCACTAATTCAAAGTGAGCCATCTTTTGATCATTGTTTATATCTGAGAAGAAATATGCAAGTACAAAATATTGCATTAATACAATAAGCAGGCTAACATATGGAACATGGGCTCAGTTCCATGGGTGTTTGTCTGGGAAAATGTGTGTATTTGTGATTTTGGAAAATTAATTAATTTTGGAATACTCCTAGACACTATTTATAAAATTCAAATTCCAAACTACGTAGAAGTTGATGAGCTTTACTGCCCACTAAATAGCATATCTGTTGCTTCTGAATGATAGTGAAGTTCAAACCTGGAATGGGGGTAAAAAAGGTATATAGCAAGTTTCATTATAGTCTGTGATAAGAACAGCTAGAGCTGAGTTAGATATGTTCTGGAAAAGAAGAAAAGCACTGGCTAACCAAGGTCCAGGAAGGCAAGGCATGGCGTGTTGTATATGCTCACAAGTTTAAGAAAATTAGCTATTGTTTATTGGAAATATGGATGAATTCTTCCCAGCATAGCTTTTCAGACTGACCTCAGGGAGACTTTAGAAGATTTCATTTTTCTCATCTTCTGGTTCACAGCGACCTACTTGGATGTAATTTACTGAGAAAAGAAAAATAAAGCATTTTTTAAAAAACCCAAAGTTGTCAAATATACAAAACTGGTGAACTGCTTTGACAGTTTGCTATGAAAATGCATCTTTCTGGAGTTGTGTTTGATAAACCTAATTGGAATCAAGTACATCAGGCAAATACTCAGTCTCATAACTGAAGTAGCCACAACATGTCAAACAAGTTGGAACCTTAGTTTATGAAATGAATTTTATTCATTACTAGCTACTTTGCAATACCTTTGATATCTTGGTTATGTGATAAAAACAGTATTAAAAATCCCAATATGAATGGAAGAAATCAAACTTGATCGTTATTTGCATTTGCTGGTCATAAAATATGAGTATTTATGGATGCATCCAATCTAAGTAAGTAAACAATACATAAAAACTATGTTGTGTCTTCTGCATTATTTTGCTTCCTTTTTCCTTACAGAACTATGGCTATAAAATTGAGGTTTGATACTTTTTTGAAATAAACAAATGCTATTATTCAGTGCTAGAACTTGGTCTGTTTATATCACTTTCTTCCTTTCTTACATCAAATGATTGTTTCAACTGCAGATTTGAATTATACCTCAGGTAACTTTTGATCACTTTTTTTCCTTTGGTGGTGATGGTGGTGGTGTGCTATCGAGTCGGTTTCTTATGGGAAAAGAATGCCTCATCTTTCTCCCATGGAGTGGCTAATAGATTTAAACTGCTGACCTTTCAGTTGGCAGCCTAACACATAACAACTATGCTACCAAGGTCCTATAGGTCCTTGAAATAGTTAGTACTTAACTGAGGTTTCTACTTGCATTGGTTTCCTGTGTGACACATTACTACAAACTTCAAAGCTTTGGAAAACATACACATTTATTTTATCACTGTTTCTGTGGGCCAAGAGTTTGGTCACAGCTCCTCTTCTCTGGGGCCCACAAGGCTGTAATCAAGGTATTAATTGGGGTTGAGTTCTCATTGGAGACTCAGCTTGGGAAACATCTGCTTCCAAGATCACATAGGTGGTTGTCAGACTCATTTCCTGAGTCCTTAGTATTCCTGGCAGCTTCCTTCTTTGAAGTCAGCAATGGAGAATGAGAAATAGAGAGATACAGAGACAGAGACTGCAAGAGCAAGTTTCCTGAAATAATAGGAGTGATGTTTCATTATAGTTGGCATACATTTAATTTACTTTATGTAGTAAGTCTTGAAATTGGGACTTATGAGTCCTCCTTTGTTTGCCTTTACTGTTGTG